GTGAAACCCTTCGTTATAATGCAAACAAATAGGGTAATAAATAATACAGCAGGCGAATGGAACATGTTGCAAAATCAAAACACGTTAGATAAAACGTCTACAATTGCAATAGTGCAACATAAAAAGTGCAGCGAGAGAAACCCAAAGGTAACTCGATCTGACAAGAGATATGATATGAGTACACTTAGTTGAGATTGTGATGTTTGAGGTCATTTTTAAAGATTGCAAAGAAAGCACGAGATTTTATAGCTGTAGGTGAATCATTCCAGTGATATTCCATTGGTGGTGGGGAAACTCTATTATTAGTAAAATTTCTTTCAGTCAACGCAGATGTTTTTTGCTGTAATTACTACGAACTGTGGGTAACAAAAATTTTTCTTAGCTGAAAATCTCGTCATATTCGCATTGTGCAAAACATTGTCACATGAACGGAAGCGGGAGGTTGTTATGAAGCAGTTCGTGGAGCATGACTATGTTGAACTCGAAAAAATAAATAACAGGGAAGATATTGTAAGAGTGTAGTAATACTGAAGCGTGGGAAGATTGTATGGAAGTAGAAGTGATCATGCTTATTGATTGATTTTGAATGCGTTGAATTGATGACAAATGACAAGCGTAGGTGTTTCCCCAAGAAGTAATACTGTAGTTAATGTGACTATGTGGTCTAAATTTCCGGAGTCCTCTACTACGACGTATCTAATTATTATATGGTGGCTTTGGGACGTTAAACCCCACATATCATTATCAATATGCACAAAGAAATTGCGTTCCTTGAGGCCTAGAGCTGTTCTGCAGTATCTTAAAAGATTTAACTATTGAACAATGTCTGTGTCATTATCAGACCTTATATCGATTGCATTACGGAATAGTTGGTAAATATTTGTTCGAAACAAATGCATATCCGAATTGAGTGCAACAATATAGGAACGTTCATTCAGCCTTACTCTATGCTCTACATTTCGCTGCATTGACATGGTGTCTCTTAATAAATTTCGTTCAATAATGTAACTATAAATACAACTATTTCGCTCGTTTTTATGAAGTAGGTACACATTTTCACCTTCCCACACCTCAAAAATATTGCCAACAATTGTGCTCGGAAGTCTTAGCCATCACCTTGTGTTACTATATATGTAAGGAACACGAACGCACTGCTTGTGAACTCGACACTGTTGACCAGAATGTGATACCTCAGCCGGATGAGCTGTGCACCTGTGTGCTCATAATTTTGTTATTCTCGTGACATGCGGTTGGGCAGTCCTAAACTGTGGCAGTGGAACGCACAGCACATACGAGCAATTATCAGGCGAAAAGAACTCATGTGTACGCGCAAACACTGCAGATGTGTGATTGCGACACCGAAAGTAATTTTCCATCGAAGGTATATAAAAACACGATAGCACCTTAACGCGAAAAGCCGTACGTTAACGCGAAAAGCCAAAGCTATTCTTTCATTAGTTAAATCCTCATTACTGTTAAGATTAGCACAACAGCACCAACACCTCCGATACAAGTGCTAAGTGCGAGCGCCAAAAAATGAATGAATAAAAAACCAGACACGGCGCTTAACTTCGAGGGCATTGGATTGCTCGGTCGTGCGTCGCCAGACATCTACAAGCGCTCGAGCCCCCTGTTGATCTGAGCGAGGAGGGTTAACGTTGCCTCAGGATAGAAAGAGTACAGATGAGAAGGACAGCGAGGTGATGAGGAGGGAGGAGGGACACTTAATTTGCGCACAACTGCAGCGAAAGCGCGGCTTCGTGACGCTGCTTGTTGGGCTGCACTACATAGGCCGCCTAAACGTCAGACTGAGTTATAATTAAGCAGTTCCTCGGTGGGCTTCTTTTTAGTTCCGTGGCGTGAACTAACTGGACGGTCTGCCTAATTGGTTCTACGTTCACGTATAGCAATTTGAAAGAGGCAAGTTAAGCAACAAGTTCTCTTCAGCCATTCTACGTGGCCTAAGATGCGTCACGGATTAAGTGCGTGGAAAAAAAGAAACAAAACTAGTGCTGCGCACTAATTTACACAGCTTCACTTTGAGTCGGCGCGGTGGAAACGGCAATAAATAGTATGCTCGTTTCTCTGGCCGGATTGGTAGAAAACGCTGATGACTGTGTGTGCGGAATAGAAAACACGATTTATATAGGCGGCTTGACGAAACATGAGGACCAATTATGCTGAAGTCTTGTTGCGACATAAACCAAACAACTCGGGAGGTATCTTATTTTGCTGTTAAAATATACACTAACGTGCGTATGTTCACAGTAATTCCTGCAAAGTAGTGAGTGTCTACGTACCCAGCAATAGCTGTACAAAACAAATCATTGTCGCTTCGAAGCGGCATTCTGAAACGTTAAGTTGGTAGGCGATCAAGTAAGGGGTTGACTGCCAATTTTGAAAGTACGCGTGAGCTAACTTACGTTTGAGATGGGACCTTTCTGCCAGTTTTATGAACGTAGAGAAGTGAAATTATGACTTGATTTTGAACTTAAGAAAAACAGCCTAGTCAAAAGCGATTCTAGAAAATATATTTGCCAAACTTACAACAGCTATCAAAGTTCACGCTTAAGAATAGCAGGCTTTATATAATTGGTGATACTTTACCAAGGACGTCAATTTGCTTATTTTTGCATAATCAGTTTTCATTTGAATAAAGGCATGTCAATAAGTTTTAGGTATAGAAGCTGGGTTCCTTTCCTTTTATTGTTGCTACAATGATGATTATAGCCAATTCAGTTTTATTGACACCTTATACGGTAACACAGTCCGCTCAGTGTTGCAAGAGATTTAAAAAAAAGAGACCCATCGTCATCATTTTGTAAAAATACACTGTATTTCTTTTGTATTTTTGTTTACTTTGTGGAAGATTTCTAATGAATATTTTAGAATGAACAAGGTATTTGTCAAGACAGGTGCTTAGGCAAAGTTTACCTAATGCATCTTTAATAACGAGACATTTCTGAAGCCTGGTCAACACCAAATCCTGAAATATCCTTTCTAGATCTTGAAACCTTTAGCATAATACCAAAGAAAATGGAAGATCTCACGTAAAGTAGTAATCAATGATATGCGAATCACAAATGAGGAAGGCGAATATGTCGCTTTAAAATCAGCACAACCTTACGAGGCGGACGTGAATTATACCGTGCATGACTTCCACGTGACGAGAATCATGTTTAGACGTGCCATTTACCTTCGTCGTCTATTCACGTCACGTGATACCAAAATTTGGTATATGTTGAGCTAGTGAAACGGCCGCGAGCACGCTTTCAACGTAGCATGTAGTCATGTTTTACATGACACGCACATCATGATTGCCATGTTTGGGCGTGTCATATAGCTTCATCGTCCATTCACGTCACGTAATACCGAATTTGGTACATGTGAAGCTAACGAAACGGCTGCGAGTGCATCATGAGTGGGGCATGTACTCATATAGTTACATGACATCTCATGGTTATCATGTTTATACCAGTCACAAACCTTCGTTATCCATTCGCGTCCAGTAATACCAAATTTGGTATATGTGAAACTCGCAAAAACGCCGCCCGCGCATCATATGTGTCGCATGCAATCATGACTTACATGACATGCATGCCATGATTTTCATGTTAGGGTCAGTCACTTGTGTTCGCCATGTAGTTAAGTCATAATATACCAGTTTTGCAACATGTCAAGTGAACGAAACCAGCACTAGAGCACCAAGACTATGAATTGTGAATCATGACATTCATGACATGCATATCATAATTTTCATGTTATGACTAGTCACTTATGCTCGTCATACAGCCATATTATGCCATAGCTATTTTTGTATTTATACCATTATCGAAACAGAAAGGAGACCTAAAAGTCGTAGGCGGCTAGATAGATAGATAGATAGATAGATAGATAGATAGATAGATAGATAGATAGATAGATAGATAGATAGATAGATAGATAGATAGATAGATAGACAGATAGATAGATAGATAGATAGATAGATAGTAATAGATAGATAGATAGATAGATAGATGATAGATAGATAGATAGATAGATAGACAGACAGATAGATAGATAGATAGATAGATAGATAGATAGATAGATAGATAGATAGATAGATAGATAGATAGATAGATAGATAGATAGATAGATAGATAGATAGATAGATAGATAGATAGATAGATAGATAGATAGATAGATAGATAGATAGATAGATAGATAGATACGCTCAAAGTCACCGAAGTTCGCTAAGAAATGCTTCGCATATAAAAATGCGGCATATTATGGTAGTAGTCATGATGCCTCATGACAGAAGATGCTCTCTTAGTTTACACAATACTGTTGTACGCCCCCACGCCTTATCTACAGCACTGTGCCACAGTAGTTAGCCACACCCAGCGCCATGATTGTGCTTGGTACTATTTACCATCTGGGTTTACGTTTTGCGACCGCGGCCTTCCTGATGCGTCTGGCTGAGAGCGTCTATGTCGAGGCGAATTATTGTTTGATTGCAAAGGCCATATTGCAGCTTCACACACTTCGTCAGGGTAAAATTAGACTCTGAACATCCTCAGAAAACCATAAACAATAACCACAAGCGCTACTTTATATGAGTGCAATCCTTCGACAAGAGAGTCCGGTTCATACCGCATGTGAAGGCTTTGCAACAGCGTAGCCGGGGGAGGCACACTGGGCGCGTGCCCCTCCCCCCTTACCCCACCAAAATTTTTTATCACGGCATACAGATCAAAAGATGACTATTTTAAGAAACCCCTCAACCCCCCCCCCCCCAAAAAAAAAAACATTCTGCCTATGCCCCTGCTTTGCAGTGATAGATGTCAGACCTTCTGTGTCAATGTCTAATGACTTTTAAATAGCCGTTTTCACCATACTTGTTCAGTCGCACCATTACATCATGATATTTTTTTAGTGAGTGAACGGTATGCTTGGCACTAGCATTCGCGATTCATTAAATTCGTGAGTGACTCCTTTCTTTCTATGTTTTTACTTTACAGGTGATCACAATGGTGTGCACGGTCCTCATCGCCTTCGTCATCTGCTGGATGCCGCTCCAGGTTATCGTACTCTATTCTCAGTTTGGAGACTCGAAACAACGGGACAAAGAGGTATGCGCTTTTCTCGTAAAATATTGGAGCGTTCCGAAACCCGTATCCAAGTTTAATTTCGTCCATTATTTGGCAGCTGCGCGCACGTAAATTATTTAAACTTATCCGGCATGCGTTGTAATGCCAGAACAGAAGAAGTAAAAATATACGTATAACAAAGAGGATCTGGCGGGTCTCAATTAGCGTGGGAGGTAGATAAAAGCGGAGGGCTCCCAGCGTACTGTTCATTTCAAGTGTTAGAGGTATACTGGGATGTATATCTAATAATCAGTTAAACGAAAAAAAAAACTTTACTGACGCTGACCCGCAGGAAAGTTTGCAGCACTACCCATGAGTTAATTAGGCTGCTTCCTTAAACAACGTAAACAGAGTCACCATTTTTTTTTCAGGAAGTGGTGAAATTATTGTTGAAAAACTTCACGTTCTAGATGTGCCACCATCTGATCCTTCGTTTTCAGATGCCGGACTGGTTCACTGAGGCGTCTTCAGTGGCGACCTACATCGCTTACTCTAACAGCTTGCTGAACCCGATCATCTACGGAGGCTTCAACAACAACTTCCGCCAGGGGCTCTGCACCGTGCTCCATTGCTACATGCGCAGAAAGCCCTCGCAGTTGCCCCGTGAGTAGCCCCCTCGCATTTCTCCCTCAGTGAGCTACTACGCAGTACAAGATGCGGCCACTCCGGGAGATGCCACTGCTAGCCTCACAGTGGCACCACCGATAGCCCGCGTGCTCGTAACAAAAAATAGAATCTACTTTTTTTTGTCTTTTCTGAACCCGGAGCTTTCAAGAATGCTCGACTTAGCTTGTGAACATCGTTTTAGTGGTTCATAAATGCATGCATAAGCATTGTAACGAGTAGTTGAAGTGTGGTCAAGCTAGCAGGTTGGAAATTCGATGTGACTTGTGTAAATGACCTGCACGACGGTTCACTTCCAATTTCCAACTAGAAATGAACAGAGGTTGTTATGCGTTAATTTTTCAGTCCTTACTTTTTTGTTTGCTGATAACGGAAGATTAAGGATAGGGTGCGAGTCACACGTGCCAATACATGAGCTGCCTAAATTTTAAGGTAGTAAAAATGATTGTCGATTTCGCCCAGAACAAAGTGGTGCGTACATTGTGGCGATCACATAGGAAGTCCCGTCTTCAAATGTCGCGGGGAACTTCGCGATAGCTGATAGAATTCGCACTTCACTTTGTTCCAGTGCTTCAGTGGCACTAGCTTCACGCAAATGAATTTAGTGGCATTGACCGAGGGACGTGGTGTATACTTTATTTGCATCCTTGTGTATTGAGAAATTTTTTTAATTTCTGCAACTTCTAACGGTGGGTGTTAAATACGATTAGCAGCTTCGTTACCAGTTGCGTAAGTGTGTGAGGGTATAGCCACTGAAGAAGGTTGGTTGGTGCAATCCATACTGCGCTTTTTTTTTCAGTTTATCCTATGTGCACTGAAAAAAACCTGTTTATGAATGTTACACTTGCTGAGACTGAAGTTTCGATATACTGTAGGTCGCGCGTGCTTCGATTGGTAGAGAGAGATGATTTTGTACTATGACATATGCGACTTGTCGCCACCTACAGGTCACTTACACTATTAATTCTAATTTCATGTCACTTAGCACATTGGTTTTAACTGACATTGCAACGTGACGTTATCACTTAGTCACATGAATTTCGTTACCCTCTGATGTAGCGACGCACTCTCACCGAATTTTTTTTTCCAAGGTGTACCCTCAAAGAGAAGATCGAGCAAAAAGGGGCGTCTTCTCGTGTCACAACAACAATCGTCATATACCGTGCAATCTTTTCCTTGCATTATCGCCACGCCCCCAGCAATTTCAGGTCACGAACGACATGCACGTCATCAGCCTGACATAGCTTTTTTGATAGGAAAGTGCCAGCGCCCAGTATTGAAGAGAGGCAGCGCAAGAAAGCCGGATGATGATTTTTGTTGTGGGGCAAAAAGACACCCTTTTTACTGGATTATTTTTTAGAGTGTACATTATCCTTCTGCATCAAAACGGGTAAAAGTATTTGTCATTACTCATTTAAACAACCAAGTTACACAAATATTAATTGCTAAGTTGCAGAAATTATCAAAATAAACATTACCACCAACAAAACCAAGCAAATAAGAAGGCACTGTCCTCTACAGACCACAATCCGATTCCTATTTCTAGGAAATTACCAAGAACCAGACAGACCCCGCAGAATTTTCATACTTACAATGATTCTGCGATGTACCGGACACCCTGCAGCAGACAGCATTTGTATTCCCTCACCACGACTCAAACACACTAATGATGATGCTGCAGAATCACTGAACGCTGTAAAAGTAAATATTGATGGGAACCTTAACAGTGCCGAGCTTGGAAGATTAGTCAAGTCTGATGAACCTTGGCGCGGGCTTCGGCATCTGAAGTGGGAAAGCCACCAATCTGGGGTGACGCAAGAAAAATTGCTGGCTGCCTGCGCAATAAACGTTTGTGCCACTTCGCTGTTCTTAGCACAACCTCAAAACTATATACGCTTAAGGGGCGATTATGCTCACAGGCGATCACCCACCGCATGCTCTGACTTTCTCCACCTGGTGTGTAGCGCAATAGTTGCGGTTCTTCGTGAGATCCAAAATGAGAGAGTGAATGCGCAATTAGTGGGCTATTGCGAACTCGTTAAACATGTGCACTGCAACGCTATCACATTAAACCACACCAGTCCCGACCCTAGCGTTATTTTGACGAAGCGGGCCGCCGGAGTCGGTAGGAGTTATGCCTAACAAATGGAGCTGGTTGATAGAAGCTCGTTTTTTCTGCAAATACTTCCACAAAAACACCATGGTCGCTTTCGGAATTTCGTGGTTTATGTGACATATGGTACAGATCACCTCCTTGTTACTTGTAGCTTGCAGTAGCCTGACGGGACTGTGTATAGCTAACGTGCTTCATTCGGACGTGGGAAGATATCGTGCTCGCGCTGGCCTCACTGTCTTTTCACACGTGTGGGTTTGTAACTAGTGGCAAATAAAACACCGCAGTATAGCTTTCATGAGGCAGTACGTTAAAGTTTCAGTTTTAGAAGGACTGAGAAATGTTGTTCTCAATTTTGAGAACTTCGCTATTCCAATCCTAATTTCCTTATTCTCGCTATCTCAATCACGAACTTCTCAATCACAAACTTCTCAAGCGCTTTCGTCACTTCGTTAAATCGAGTTTCAGCTGTGTATATTGTAAAGAGTTTTATTGCACGCTGGCGTTCCAGTCGATCGGTAGCTTCATCGACGACTTAATTCACGGACCCCAAAGAGCGAGAGTGGCATCCACTAGCCGCCATGTGTGGTCGTGGACCCACTATTCGGTGGAACCTCTAGGTGACACTAATGAAGGTGATACACGCTTGCGCTCGTTCTTTGTCACTCCAATATTTAGTGAAACCAATGATCGTATACGGAAGGTTAATTGTACCTTTTTAAGTGTGTTGTAGTTACTCTCATACAGAAGTGAAGAAACAGATGTGGATATGGGAGACCACTATTTAGCTGAATTGGTAAAGCATCAGGCGCGTCATCCGATGGTTCCAAGTTTGGCCCTTGCCGGCGGCAAGTTGTATTTTGATCAAATTTGCCTTCTTTTGATCTATATCACAATTACTAGAAAACACTTAAAAATTAGGAGACCCTGAAGCTTCGCCTTTAGCAGTTGAACCCGATTACGACGTCCTGTTTTTGGTATGTGCTTCAAACACTTAGTGTACGAAACCTTTTGGAATTTGCTCTGAACCCACTACGTGGCTTTCAAAGAATAGACGCAGTAGCGTGTGTGCCTTTTGTAGTGGGGTACCGGCTTTCAAGCGCGGAACCATTGAGATAATCACATTTTGACGCCTGTTGGCAATGGGCGCTCGTACCACGCCTTATTACTGCAATATTTCATGTTGCATTGTGAAGAATGTATACAGGACGTGTGTGCTTGTGAAGCGTGAAAGCTTCTTTCACTGCATTGACAAGCAGAAGTTTTTTTCACTATTTTCACAAGCAGAAGCGTGGCCGTGTGGTAGATCATCCGCTTGCCACGCAAATGACCCTGGTTCCGTCCAAACTCTGCTCCAGGTTTTTTTATCATTTCTTTATTTTGTTTGCATCGTTCTCGATTTTTAGGTCTCGCATAAGATGGTGATTTTTTTATCCCAACCTACGACGCCGACGCCAACGCCGAAATTTCCGCGAAACGAGCTCTTTAGCGCTGCCCCGTTAAAAATTACAAGTAACATCCCTTATACCCATGTCGCTTCATTATTTGGTGGCAATATTTAATGGTTGTGTGAAACGAAGATTCCCGTCCTTTCTCGCCCTCTCTGTCTCTCTCTAAAGTCTACATGTTGAGTGGTAGTTTGGAAGTCCCGTGCGTGTTTGTGTGTGTGGGCGTATGTTTGAGTGTGTGTGCGTATGTGCACGTGCTTGTTTCGTTAATGTTTGTGTTGATTTCACTCAGATGTGACTGAGCATTTGTCATTTTTATTTATTTATTTATTTATTTATTTATTTATTTATTTATTTATTGTGTTAGGAAGTCGGGTTTGATGGCATTTGTTTCTGCCACCACTGTTAGAATTTCCTGTTCGTTGCGATGGTAGCGGTAGTCGAAAGCGGCGAGCAGTGGAACAAACTTCTCTTAAGCCTTCGCCCAGAAGCGAAATAGGGAGGCAATCAGTTTTGAAAACAGCAACAGGAAGGAATGTTTACTATAGTAGGTTATAGTTCGTACAGAGCCGGCCAGCACGACAACATCGGCTGGGACAAAATCCTCTAAACATGGGGCCAGCGTGGCATTAAATAACGTTTTGGTCTCTTCTACGAGACCAGTTCCCCGGTGCCTGGCGGAGATGGTGAAGCTTTCCCCGGATCGGCACGGTGGCTCGGCGGAGGAGGTGACGCTTTGCCCGGAACTGCACGGTGCCGCCTTCTGCGTAGAAGGTGGCGCTGGGAGGGGGGGAGACAGTTCGTCGGAGCAGTGCTTGATCTCGTGAGAAGATGCGCTGCCGAACGAGGACCATGTCTGTGGTATTACAGTGGACACTGCAGGCCAATATGTTGGTCCATGCAGGAGGGTAAATACAATCAAAAAGTATTCGCAAGAGACTGATGATGCTGGAAGAAAAACAAACTGCACATAAAAATGATATAACCTATACAAAAAGCCGTCAAGGAACGAAATGTTTGTTCTGGCCAACAATGGACGCAGGTGAACAAGTACACTAATAAAACTCTTCACACAATAGGAAGGCACTGTGCACAACATGGGATACACGACATAATTGAAAGAAAAGTTTGAAACACTAATCACATTTATACTGAATTATGGTAAAAATGGTTTTCCAATTCTTTATTAAAGTTGACATAATGATAGTTTTTTGTAATATTGGCATAAGACAAGACCTGTGACTGTGCCTAGTCTACCATGTTTTACATGCAATATCACAACCATCACCATAGTTATAACATGAAAGTCATGACATGTGAGTCATCAGTCATGATTTACATGCCATGGTCTTGCTGCTCTTGTGGTGGGTTCGTTCACATGGTATATTACAGAACTGTTATGGCGTGACATGACTGCGTGGTGAAC